TTCTGTTCTTCCACACTTGACTGGGACAGCCTCATATGGCGAACGACATCCGATTGGTTTTTACGTTTTTCTATTGCCGGAATTATCGATAACTTTCACCGAGAGCACTTTACGCTTTTTCGAAAACATGAAGACTGTTCACACACTGAGACACAACTGAAACTGGAAGTGAGAAGTCGTCAATAGATGACAACATCCCGTAAAATCGTATCACTATCCCTTGGATAACAATAAGTAGGAGGGATGACGCATTCCTTGAGCGCGACACAAAACAACCGCTGAACAGTGGCCTTGTCGCTCGTGACTTAGATAGTCTGGGCTTTAAATACGATAACACATTTGCCATCGACTATTGAACGCTGAAAAGTGATCGCTATAAAGAGAGAACGATATCGGTATAGAGAAAGAATTAATACATTGTCCTTATGACGAACCAACCAACGTTTACTATTTTCATCGTTATAGAGGAATTATCGCTATATATATGTATATGTATATATATATATATATATATATATATATATATATATATATATAATTTGTTTATTGATTTTATTTTTTAAATACAGTTTTATATAGTACTTTTGCTTTTATTTTCTATGGTAAAGCGAGTATATATATATATATATATATATATATATATATATATATATATATATATATATATATATATATATATATTAATCCTCTGATGGCTTTATATGTTATATAAAGATCATCATATGTTCTGAAAGCAAGTTATCGTCTCTTTTTGTCAGTCGCATTATTTCATCTATGTTGTTATAAAACTTTTATGGCTGACTGTGCAATTTTGTCCGATATTGATAAAGCCCTTTCATATTGATGTTCTGGGTCGGTTCTTGCTGAATAATAAATGTATCTATTTTTTGTTTTCCTTAACCAGGCCATCTTACTTAACATCCCCAGAATGTCTATTTTCATCCTTCTCATATCGGCTTCAGTGTTTGCAAGTTTCTCGGACATGAATAAGCTGCGTACGTTCCAGGTGGCAATGCGTACTATCTTGTCATATATTTGGAGTCTTAGTCCACTTCCTTGAACTTCAATAGTAGTTGACGGGGAGATTTTTCGCACCCTCTTCCCATTTAAGGGGTGACTTGGACTGAGGGCCACTTTCTTGTTTCCGTCTGCCATTTAGATTTGTCGAAAATACAATGGGGTCGTTTTACCGTTCTCGTTTCCATTGCAGTACCACAACCATTCAAACTGCTCCAGTCATGCTTGTAGTATTCCAGTTTCAATCCGGTCCGAAATCATTTCCTTTGCGCCTTAAACTGGTTAGCGCTACCACTACGGAGATATAGGAAATAGATAACTAGATTTTGAAGGATAAAGGATTAAAGAATATATGAATTCTCTCAGTAACGAATTAAGAGCAAAGCATGGCTCGCGTGGGCACGGCTTCAGATGTATGTATAATGCAATGTGACAGTATATGATAACGATATTGCAAGTTTCCTGCATAATTAAATACTAATAAACACTTTTTTCTGAGTGTCCTAAACGATATTGTATACATACATTTATTTATACATTTTAAACAATAGTTTTAAATTTTTAAAAAGTAACACTGTTTTACCCACATATATATTACAATGACTAGTATTACATCTATTGGTTTTGGTACCTTCATTTTAACCTGAGATATATTGTTTATTTACCATAAAAGCGTAATAATAGATTGACCAAAGTGATCAGGCTGTATTACGCCTAAGTTAATTAAAGATTTTTTTCTCCGATTGTTTGATGGTTTAAAATATTCTTAGAAATGTTTATATCTTTATTACTTACGTCAATAAATTCAATAGAAATTTAATAAATATCAAGAAAAAATAAACACTAATTTACACTATGGATTATAATGAAATTATCTGCTCTTCAAGAAATAAAAGTCTTTAAACAATTACAATAATTATAAACTGTTTATTATGGATTATTGTATGAAAAAATTTGAAACTCTTTTTAAAAAATAAAATCATTCATTTGTAATTCGATTGGTAACTCTCTAGCTTTGACTAAATTTCATAATTTAGATAGAGAGAGACGTAGTCATCGAACCAATGACTTAGCGAGAACCTAAAAATCGCATTCGGGACTGTTACTTTTGTGCATATGACATCATACATTTAAACAAAATAAATTTAGACAGAATAAATCAATTTGTACAAAGTGTAACTCCAGCAAAAAAAGGCAAAATAGAAAAATCTAAAAAAATTTGATGTGCCATCGAACATTAAAGATGTAATGCTTCGGAAGATGAAGATGTAAGTGAATATGAAGATAGTTTGAAAAATCCTATACTTTATAATCAAGCTGATTTAGATGTTCTTGTTCGATATCTTAATCTACAGAGAAATTTGATATTATCAGTGACAATAATTACACTAACAACTGCAGGAAAAGAGAACTAAAGTTTGTAGAGATTTTTTTACAAAAGACGACTCTTTAGACTACTGCCATAATATTAAAGAACTTCTTCAAAAAAGATTTATACAATGCACATGATTGGCGGCTTTTTATAGATGCTTCAAAAGAAAGCCTTAAAGCCGTTTTGCTTCATAATTGTAATATCTATACAGCTGCTCCTATTGGTCACTCCACCATACTTAAAAAATCATTTGAAACTGTTTAATTAATTTTGGTAAAAAGATCAGTAAAGTTTACACAAATGGCTTATTTCTGAAGACTTTAAAATGTTACGTCCTTTGGTCGACTTACAGTCTGGGAACATTAAGTAGGTACCTTTGTTTTTTCTTATGTGGCCAAAAAGATCAGAGTGGCCAATTGGTTAGAACAACGTTCTACATACACGAAAGTATTGTTGACTCAAAGAAAGTGCTTATACCACCTCTTCATGTAAAATTAGGATTAAGGAAATAATTCTCAAAAGCTCTTGATAAAGTTCTGCGTGTTATCAATATCTTTGATCTGAATTTCCGAATTTATCTACACTAAAGTACAATAATGCGTTGTTGCATCCCCCGCCATTAGGAAGCTAATGAAAAATGACTATTTTGAGAAAACAGCACTTACAGAAAAAGAAGTATGGGTCACTTTTAAACAAGTTAAGTGTCAACAATGCTAAAATAATTTCAAAAACTAGGCTAAAGACTTTCACCAAGGCTTCAAGCAAAAAGAAAATCATTTTCAGGGTCGTTAGGATATACGAATGATGTCATTACTGATGGTCCTTTAAGAAAAATGACGTTTTATTTAAATATAGACGTAACACACTCAAACGATCGTTTGAATTTAAGCGAGATAGATTCATAACCATATCTGATAAACAAACGGAAAAATTAACCAATACAACATAAAAACTTTAAGGTGTTAAGCGTATTATTTAAGCATAGAAAAAATTAACGGGTCTACCTAACCTTAAAAATGGTCAAAAACCATAGACATATAATATAAATAGGCTAAGCGTGGCTATACAGCCGCGTTTCCTTAGTGCGACAGAGAAAACTGGCACAAAGCAGTCCTTGCATCTCTTTCTAGTGGGCCGCGTGTATCGACCACGTGATCCTCTCATTGTTCATTTACGTCACGTGGTCAATAAACCTGGCAAATTAAAACGATATAAACGGACTGCTTTGCGCCAGTTTTGTCTGTCGCACTGGAGGAACGCGACAGTATAGCAGCGCTCCGTCTATTGGTAATATATCTGTATGCCAAAAACCGCTATTTTAGGTTAGGATAAATTTCGGAAATTCGGAGCCCAGATTCGTATTCCATAAAGAATTATCAGTTTGCTTTATACCTACGTGACAAAGGTGTTTAACCTTGTGGTAAAGACAAGAAAAATGGTAAATGTTGTCAACAATCGGAGGAAAAAACAATAATTTTCGTCGTCCATTTGGATTTATCTTAGTAAAATATTTTTTTGTACAAAATTAAAGATTGAGGTTGTACGTGATATGTTCAGATTTGTTAGTGATTGGTTATCTGTAAAATATAGTGCCTGTAAAGTGTTAGTGCTCTTCAATTTATCTAATTTTTAATACACATATAAAGCGACAACTAGATTACGATGATTACAAACACAAATAACCAACTTACTCAGCTTCCAAGTTGAAAAATGTTTTTTTGACTACACCTAACGAGCATGACTTCGTAAAGTTTTCGAGTATTTCGTCTGGTGTTGTTGAGGATTTTAGCCTACACAAAGACAGCGGAAATATTTTACTACCTTCAGTCTTATTTGAGCAATCACAGTGAGCCCATTTACTGAAATATAAAAAAAGCATCTCGACAAGAGCCAATTCGTTAACATGAGTCAACAGATTGTAGCCTGAGAATAAGACAATACTCTTAAGATGCACACACAGACACTTACATATACATACACACACACGCACACACTTATAATTAGTTTCATCGCCTGTCTTTTCCGCCTAAAAGTCAGTATCATATAGAAGACAGACCCGGAAACAGAATATCAGGATTTCTAACCAAATTTCATCTTTTTTGGAGCGATTGCTACGTAATTCACGGACATACGGTGGTGTAAATTTTGTATCTTACAGAGTAGAAGGTGTGACATGGCGTATCTATTCCGAAAAATGTGAGTTTTGGTTAGGAATCCTGTCTTTATTTCTTTCGAGTTTGTCTTCGATTTGACACTGCCTGATGAGGCTCAATAAAGGCGAAAGATATCGTACTGTAAACAGAAAACTTTTAGCGAGAAAAGAGATGCATCTATATCTTTTAGTGCACGATACGTCACTTTCTTAATAGTTTAAATGAGCAGAATTTTGAGGAAAATTGTTTAATCAAGTGACGTTTAGAACATTAAGTATGTTCCTTTCTTTTCTAGTGTAGCGCTTTCGAGTGTAGCTGAGTGTAAGCTACACTGACTAGTGTCAAACGAAAATAATGGTTGTATTACTAAACAAAGGAACGTTCGAGTGTAGTTAACCTTTGAGTTTCGGTTCAAGTCAGGTTATTTTACCACTTTTTTATCTTTAGATTTTTTGTTTGGGTTTCTTCTACTTTTGATTTTCCTTCTTTAATTTAGATAATCTTTATTATAATTAGCAAGGTATCTTTAAAAAAAATTATAAAAATGAGTAATGAAATTAAAATTTGTAGGTAGGTGTGTACTTCAGTTTTAAAAATTACTAAAAGCTTTTTAAAGTTTTTAAATTTAAATTAAACTAAAAAGAACAAGATATTTTTTGTAAACAAACACATCGTACAGCTAAACAGTTGTCAAACTCCGTTGGATGATACTGCCCAAGACGAATGTCACGAGTGTAGATAGTCACCCTCTCAGAAGCACCCGAAGATTTATCTACACTGGTGTTAGACTTTTTGCTAAACTTTTTAATGGAACAGACTGGTGTAGCACTACACTTTGCAAAGCTTAGACAAGGAAAGAGACTGGACGCGTAGTTGTATGGAATTAACTAATACCAAAATCGGCACCCTATTCAAATCCCTATTTAAAACGAAACATTTTTGTACAGTAAATGTTTTATTAGATTAAAATTCTTAAAAATATCAGGTATAAACGTTTTTTATTTCGAATTTTACAGCCACCAAAACATGATGCTCGCGGAAATGCTCGCCCACCAAACGTGTACTCTCTCTTGTCTAAGTTGCAAAGGAACGACTTTTTACACTTTTTACAACTATTGCTACACTAGAAAACTAAGGAACATATCTATTTATACACAATACTACCACTACTGTAGTATCTAGTGTCAAAATGTAATAACATACAATTACTTCTATAAGTAGAAGAGGAGTAGAAACGAACTGGAAAACCATTTCGTAGATGATACTGACATTGTTATAATACAAGACAGGAACACCAGGAGAAATTCTAATAAGGAAAACTGATCCTCAACAAAACAAAACCATCAATAATACTGTGATAATACTATTGAAAGAATATGCGCATTTTTTTGTCACATTAATTCCATTTATAAATATACATGTAATTATCAACGTATTTCGTATTTCTACAAAAATTTCATAATATAACTTATTGTAAATAAAATACATAATACCAATTTCCTTCGAGCCTCATAATTTTCTTAACTCAATGCTTAGAAATAACCAATACCAAGAACAATTATAACAAAATTACACATAACATTTTATACTATCAAATACGTACATATTTTGGATTAAAATAATCCTTAAATAATTAAATATCTTACGGAAAACATACCACATATTTCTAAAAAATGTAAAACTTCTTTCAATACTTCAATAAAAGATAAAAATCATATAAAAATAAAATGTTCTCAATATGCATTCCCCAGTGATACTCGTTTCGCTGAATTCAGTCCCAACTGTCAAGTAAATTTAGTAATTATTTTTTGCTACGTTGGTGAAACTTTAACCGACTGGAAGTTATTATACAATCAAGCACACGTGCTCATAGACAATAGCGTCTATGAGCACGTTATATAAAAGTTGCAAGTCAAAGGTTTTTATTGAAATGAAATGAAAGTTTTTACTAAAAATTAATGAATTATTCATACCCCCATTATTCATGATTATTTTTCATTTTTTAATGAAAAAGGCAGCAACACTTGGTGCAAAGGCTGCAATAGTTTATTTGGGCTAATATTAGTGAGAGTTAGGAATATTTGTGTTTCCACAATGTTTCCGCTAATGAATCTGTCAAAATATTCCAAAGTTGAGCGAACCGAGTATATTTCTTTATTTTATGCCAATATAAAACCGGCATCCAATTTTGACGTTAACATTATTGTACAGAGTTGTCGTACTGTCGAAAAAGCAGAAAATATAGAGAATTATGAAATGATGAAACTGTAAGGTTATTATTATAAATTCGTATATTAAACGATATACAGGACGATCAAATTTTGTACCGAAGTCCGTTATATCTGTTATTGGATACCACAAAAAGCTATTTATAAAAATAAAAGGTATTTATAAAAATTAGTTACGAATATAACATATATAGGGTATCTCACAACATTGCATCGCATCAACGATATGTTTTTTTTTGTAATGAAACACCATGTATTGCATTACAAACTATTACCTATTTAAATTAAAAATCCGCCTCACTTCATTTTTTAAAAGAATACAAAGTTGTTTTAGTGTTACAGGTACAGGGTATTTAAAAATGTATAACCAAATTTTAAATATATAACTAAATTAAATGTATAACCAATGGTTTGGGATGACCTCAGCGGAGCTGTTTCGCGGAGCAGTCAACAAAACCATGATACCCTTGATGATCGCCAACATTCGGACCTGATAAGGCACTGAAGAAGAAGAAGAACCAAATTTTAACGAATATTGTAACAAGTTAAACGCCCTGTATAATTGAAAAGCGGTACAAAAGCAACGACCTGTTATAGACACAGTTTTTAGATTACCAATATTCAAAAGATAAGTAATTGATTTTTCTAATACTCTTTAAATCTATACTCCAGCAAATAAATAATGAAATGAGTCATGAACGTAATCACTTACGTTTACGTTATCGTTATGACCAGGAAACGTGTCAGTAGCGGAGAAATGATGCGTATATGGTCAGTATATATTTAGCTTTCTCAGAGTTAGATACATTGTCTGTTAGTAGTATACAGGTGCCCTTGTGTTTAATGATATATTGCTTTTGTTTAATAGTACTAACAGGGAAAGTGTAAATATAAAAAGTTCTCGCAAAACAGTTAGGACTTAAAGGTAAAAAATAAAAGTGTCTAATATGTATTTGAGAAAAATATTGTCTAAAGCGGAGGCAATAAGTCATTGTGAAAGTATGGGAGGAGTATTGTCATCCCTGTTTACAGGATTGTCCGTCAAAAACAACGCTTGAATGAGGTTCAGGTCCCACAGGCACATCTACGAGGTCGAAAACCAATTGAATTTAATGAACATAATAATTCAGAAATAACACGTACTGAGCATTCTTTTTATTTTAATAAGAAAATTCATACTCTAAACAAAATCTTTTCTGCATTCAAAACTAATGAAGTAATTCCCCAAATAAATGGTGAAACCTTGCGTAAGCAGTAACACAAATTGGAATTTACTTATGTCAAATACAACAGGATAGTGTATATAGAGAAACCTGAAATCAACTTGGGCCAATGCTGGACATACTACTAAAAACATCTGTACATATTGGAAGTGACAACGGCTTTCTAAAGAGCGGTGGTTCAGTTTTTTTTTATAAAAAAGCCGGTCATTATCATAAGGGCATGAATGCAGATGGTTTCGCATAGTGATTTCAATATGTTCTGCAACGTGTTGAAGATAACTCTGTCATCGTTATGGATAATTCATCATATCATAGTGGCTGAAGTGAACAAATTCCCACTTTAAACAGCCGAAAGGTTGAAATGGTAAAATGGCCCCGGGAAAAATATTCCGTACTATGAGAATGCAACTAGGTAGAGTTGATGTGTTTAATCAAACAACATCGCCCTAATCACATCAATTACGTAGTGGGTAGAATGGCCCGTGCTTGAGGTGTTACTGTTTTAAAACTTTCACCATATCACTGCGAAATTAACCTGATTGTGTTAATCTGGGCACAAACAAAGCGTTATGTGGCAAGTCATAATGTAACTTTTAAAATTGAAGATATAAGACGTCTGCTAAATATTGCTATTGATGAGTTTACGCTATTAGCATAGCAGAATGCTATTTTCCATATAAGTAAGGAGGAAAACGAATGTGGGAATTGGATGTTCATGTTGACATTACAATCAAATCCGTGGTGATTACGTTAACAGACGATAACAGCAGTAATAGTGAGAGTAATTTCCCTTAAATAGACATATTAAGCTGTGATTATTTTAGAACACACTAAATTTTCACCTAAATTTACCATAAAAAATACAATAGAACTAGTTAATAAACTACAACATTTTCAATTACCTAATAGGCAAAATAACAACTCTAGATTAATTTTATTTGACGTAAAAAATCTTTTTCCTAGTATTCCTCCTACATAAACTTTCATTCTAGTAAAAAACCTTTTAGACCAAAATAGTACAAATCCAACCATAACATCTGAAATTTTACATCTTCTTGAAATTTGCATAAACCAGGACTACTTTGAATTTAATAATCAAATATATACAAATAACAGTGCAGGACTTATAATGGGCAATGCTCTAAGCCCATTGCTATCAGATATTTTTATGGATCATCTAGAGACAAAGATTTCAAAACATCCCACATTCAAACACTTTTTATATTGGCGGAGATACCAATTTTTATCGTATATTAATTAACTTCATAGTCATATTGAATTTACAATAGAAACAGAAAAAAATCATTCCATAACTTTTTTAGATTTAAAAATTATCAGACTAAAAACAAACATGACTTCTTCATATTTCATAAACCTACCCATACTGACACGACTATACACAATTCATCGTCCCATCCCATAGAACATAAACTGGCAGCCTATCATAGTGTTTTACATAGATGAACAGAAATTCCGATGTCAAAATACAACTTTGAGACAGAATTAAATATCATTAAGCAAATAGCAGTAAACAATGGATACAACCAAGAAACAATTAATAAAATCTTAAATCAAAAACCACACAAGAAAGCAATGAAATTAGTATTTCCACCACCAGAGAAAAAACCCAGTACCTTCTGCTCGATTACATTATAGAGGCAACATAACAAAAAAAAATAGCTAAACACATAAAAAAGAAAGGAATAACACCAGCTTTCAGAACAAATAACAACTTAGGCAAATATATTAAAAATAACAAGAGCCAAAATAGAAAACACTTACACAGTGGTGTTTAAAACTTAAATGTGGCGACTGCCCAAAAGCTTACATCGGTCAAACTGGTAGAAATTTTAATAAACGAATAGCAGAACATAAAAGGGCTTTCAATAACAGAAAAATAGATTCTACATACGCACTTCACCTTCTAAATCATAATCATTCTTTTAAGGAAGAATTTAAAATTCTTCACATTCAAAATAAAGGCCTTAAGCTATCTTTGTTAGAATCTATGGAAATTGAACAAATTAAAAACAGATATAATTGAATGACCAACTTGAGACAATATAAAAAATAGTGAATTTGTGTTTTGACTTACCGTGTATTAAATTTAAAGATTAGAAAAATAAATCATTCTTATGAAATTTGACAATCACTTAAAAACTATGGCTACAACAGGCCGTTGCTGCTATACTTGTTTTCAGTTATATACATGTCATTGAACTTGTTACAATGTTCATTGAAATTTGGCTATACATTCTTAAAATCACTGAATAACACAGAATAACTTTGTATCCCTGCAACTAATAAGTAAAGCAAATTTTAATCGGTAAGCAGTTTCATTAAAAAAAAAACAGACCTATGATACCTTACAGTGTTATGGAAGACATACACGTATATAGAACTGTATATTCGTAACTAATTTTAAAATGTGAAGCTTACAGCTACCTTCTATTTTCTTAAATAGCTTTTCTTGGTACCTCTAATATAATAACAGATATAACGACCTTTGTCACAGAAGTTGATCATCCTATATATACTTCAACTAATTTACATACCGATGCACGTCATCAGCGTCATAGTTCGTGACGTCACATGATACCAACACGAAATATTCAGGCGGTAGGTGAGTTCCTTTTTAGAGTCACTTTGCCGAGTACACTGGCATTACAGCCACTACATATTTTATTATATACGCGTAGAAATAATATTTTTAAAGATTTCTATTAATGTTAACTTAAAGAAATACACAATAATATGTTTCATTTAATTTGTATAAATGTATTATAAAGCGTTTTTATAAAGAACATTTGTTCGGAACACACTGTAACTGTAATCGAACAAAGGTGAAATTTTGGCATACATTGGTAACACTTATTTGACAGTTGCGGTGTTGACACTTTTTGAACTTTATTATTTTGAATTTTAAAGTGAATACCTCTTGTTTTATATTTTTACCTATTTAATAAAAATGTGCTTTTTAGAACAAAATTGTGTTTTATTTCAAAAATGTCCAGTAAGAATTTAAATAGTCGTTTTAAAGAGATGGTAATACTTTTGCAATAATTATGTGACCTATTTAATTTAAAATGGAGTCAGGATTTTTTTATACTTTGGCAACTATGTCAACTTCGATCTCTGTCAATGATAATGACGTGCGTCGGTAAGTAAATTAGATGAAGTATATGCACTTAATACAATATGCTTTTTGTATTGTAAAGCCCTGAATTATTGTACAATATATTTGTGCTATATTAATATCAACTGTCTACAAATTGGATAGCCGTTCACAACTGAGGAGTCAGTTTATTTAAAGGTTTTGCTTAAAAACATAACCTCAACCTCAACAAGACATCATCGTGACGCCATCGTAACCATTACCTATTTTTACATTTAAAACAACTCATTCTTTGTCGATAGAACAGTTAAATTTAAAATAGTAATAAATAAAGCATGATATAAATATAAATAGTAACTAAAAAGGTATATGTAACAAGCTTAGGTAACATAAAGCAAAATTTTTACATATTACATACAAACTTAACCTCAACAAGACATCATTGTGTCACCACCACCATTACATATTTTTCCATTAAAAACAACTCGTTCTTTATCAAATGAACTGTCAAATTTAAAATACTAATAAATAAAGCATATTTTGATATAAATAAAAATAATAACTGAAAAGGTAACCTTTGTATACATAATAAACTTAACATAAAGCAAAATTGTGTCAGCGAAATTTATATTTTCGCTTACTTCTACACATTAATGAGTAGAGTAACCAAATAATAAATATTGATGTTCCGAAAAGATAGAGGTTGATTACTGTCGATTCTCTAGGAAGCTCACATTTAAAGTAGGCGTAGTTGTTGGGTGTGATTGTAGCCTGCGATAAAAAGATAAACACATTAGCTGTGACCAACAGTGAAAAATAAAAGAGTTTTGAAAAATGTTTACTATATTTACTTATACAAGGTGCTTTACCATGTGACTTCTTCGGACGTTGAAGTACGAGGCCTACCGAGTGACGATTCAGTAGTTCTAGTGTTGTACTATACGTTTATAGTGAGTTTTGGTTGCTGTGATATTGGAACTAGCTTACTCGGACCAACGTGAGGGTAGAAATATACTTTTTCCATTTTCTACCTAAATGTTCAATATGTATCTATTTCTGTGTCAGGGTCTGGCACATATGCTTTGCTTATGTAAACTGTGTGTTGTAGTAAGTGGCATAACAAACAATTTACACAAACAATTATTTCTACAAAGGAAACCTTCTACAGCAAAGGAAAAGAAGAAGATCAGACAACAAATATTAACAGATAATAGAGAGTGTAAAAAACAAGAATATAAAATTTTTCGAGGAAGATTGAAAGCTCTGTGTAGAAGGAAAAAGAGAAACCACAATGAGTTGAAATTAAAAGAGATAGAAGAGAAGATTAAAAACAAAGAGGTGAGGTCGTTCTATCACGAAGCTAAAAAGATGGATAAAGGTTACCAAAGCCACTGTAAAGGTAAAGGTAAAGACGGAAATTTAATTAGCGATCCGGCAGAAATAATGACGGAATGGAAAAAACATTTTGAAGAATTATTAAATGGTGAGGAGGACCACGAAGCAGTAGACAACTGGACAGTTGGAGAAGATGCGATAGTTGAAAGGCAGCCTACAGAGGAGGAGATGGTGACAGCAATACAAGAAATAAAAAATAACAGAAGTCCTGGTAAAAATGACATATGCATAGAAATGATCAAGTTTGGTGGAGAACAACTACAAAGAAAAATATATCAGAGCTACTAGTGCAAGTATGAACGACTTGTTATGAAGGTAAAGTTCCCCTGCATGTTTTGTTTGTGAATTTTAGACAAGCATATGATAGAGTCGATAGAGTCAAAATGTATGGAGCAATGGAACATTTGGGCATACCAGAGAAACTGATCCGGCTAGTTAAAATGACACTTTATAACTCTACGTGTGAAATTGCTTGGCAGGGTCACATATCAGATCAATTTACGGTTGCAAAAGGCTTGAGACAGGGAGATCCTTTATCCGCTACATTATTCAACTTAGTGTTAGAAACTGTAACCTGAAAATGTAGCATGAAGGTGGAAGAAACGATAATGAAAAATGAGCACCAGTGCTTGGCATTTGCTGACGATCTAACGATCCTATCAAAAACCGAGAAAGAATTAAGAAAAGTTGTTAAGAATATCATCGAAGAAGCACAGAAATTCGGATTGGAACTAAATGAAAACAAAACCAAATATATGATCATGGGAGGGACAGAAGGGAAACAAGAAGACTTTAGTGTGAGGTCAGTAAGCTATAGTTTTACAAGGGTGGACAAATTTGAATACCTGGGTGTAGTTTTCGATGAAAATGGAAAAGAGAAATGGGAGCTCGAAGCCAGAATAGCAAAAGGGAATAAAAAATTAGGTAGTTTAAGAGCCCTACTGAACTCAAAATACGTTTTTAGACAAGGTAAACTCAGAATATATAAAACAGTAATTCAAACCACAGTAACATATGCCGGTGAGACATGGATATTAAATAAGAAGGAAGAGGAAAAGGAAAGATTCTCTGGAAAGATGGGAAAGGAAAATATTGGGACGCATATTCGGAGGACGGAAGACAGAAGATGGTTGGGAGAGAAGAACCAACAATGAATTAATGGCTTTATACAAAGAACCTACCATTACCAAGTTCGGCAAGGCACAAAGAATCAGATGGTTGGGACATGTGGAAAGAATGGCAGCAAACGCAATGCCTAAACTAGTAATAACCAGAAAATGAATCGGCCCAAAAGTAGAGGTAGACCCAGAACGAGGTGGATTAGTATAGCGGAGGAAGACCTTAAACACGTGAAGATGAGGGACTGGAAAATAAAAGCACAAAATAAAAGAGAACAAAGTTGAGTTTAAAATAATTGTAATTAGTTAATATTAGCATTATGTTGTAAAAAAATGTCCTAGGCCTTAACGGCCTGTTGTGCGTAAAAATAAATAAATAATTTCTAAAGAGTATTATGTAAGAATCCTTGTTCCCGATATAGGAGAGGAGCGTGCATACTTCACAGTGCAGTTCTGACTTCGTAAATCTTGAATGACGTAACATGATTTTAGTATGAAACATATAGCCATGTTAATCGCCAATATTCAGAACAGATAGGTGATAGGCGTCGTATGATATCTCAAGTTAATGATTTACTTATGACTTACCACCTCAAGAACACCATTTTTGAACTTTTTAATTGATCACCTTTTCAAAGCATACTTGGAAAGTTGAAAAATGTATTAATCTAAGAGGAATCCCAATTGAATATCAAAATTTCCAGAAAAAAAATTGGTCAAAAAATATCATTTCGTTTCCTGCTTCTAATATTTTCGATTTTTAGTTTTATCATGACCGAGATGGATGCAGATGGCCAATGATAGGAAAAAATGGAAGAGAAGAAGAAATCTATGACTGAATAAAAAGATAGAATGCGTTTATATACCTACCAAAAATTGATGAAAATACTATGATGTTCAATGAATATTGCATTTTCAATGTCAGTCTATTTTCTATTTGTCTCAAGGTTAACATTTATTTTGTGGTGTTATTTTTTATAATTAGATGATAGAACAGTCAATCAAGAGTATGGTAACAAAATGTAGGCTATATATAAGAAACATTAAGTGATTTATTTATTGTATAAACATTAGTGATTTGTTCTCTTCATAAGTTCTATAAAGATGTCTGTATAATAAAAAAAGGCAGTTACTTACAGTTAATGGTAGTCTTGAAATCTAGATAAATGCACAAGCATATAAGGATAAAAGTCTCTTGCTGGACTACTTGGTGGAATTTTCAGATGGCTTTCTACTACTGACTTGAGCATACATCAGGGAACATCTACAATTATCTTTAACACTTTATTTTGGAAATATTGAATGTTCAGAATTGAACTCTTTTTTAGTAGAATGCCTTTTATGAATATTTTTAGTCTTCATTGCGTTTATGGAGAGAAACTACAGAACAAAATTACCTGGCTCAACAAATTAAAGAAGGATATGCTTTATGAGAGTTTGGAAGTCATTCACTATTGTGGACCGTATTTAGAAAATCGGATCTGCGTGGGAGTCTGAAAAGTCTTCAAAAATTGTGAAGTCATGGAGAACACTATTACCAAACATCATATTTTGTACTATATGAACATGAACTAGTAGTTGGAGAAGATGAAAATGCACTGCCTAGCCTTGCAGATCAAGTTTAGTCAACTCAGTTCCTGGAGAGAGCATGTGTACGCAGGAAACTTGCAAGTTAGACTGCGACGTTGCCGACACGGGAATTGAGCATCTAACGAATACAGAGATCCTAAGAAAATGACGAGGAGAAAACAAAGAGAAAAGTGAAGAAGAAGAGGAGTTTGCACCTGGGGGACGAGTGACTCACGAAGCAGTCTCAGTAGAAGATCAGGACGACGCGATATTCGCTGAAAAACTGATGCTGCGTAAAGTGCAATGTAGAATAAGGAAACAAACCAAAGAAGCAGAAACAAGAGACATACTACTTTCTAAAAAAGTGTAAAAAATGTATACAACAGTGATTTTTGTTATCCGCGGCAACCCCGACAATCAACTCCACGGATAAACGGAGTCGATTGTAAATAAGTCTGGAATAAAAATCAAATAGAACTATTGAAAGAGCAAAATATGAAACAAAAAACCGAATATATACAGACCTACCAATAATTTGTTACTTACCAACAAATAGTTAGGGTTATCCTTGTTTCTCCAACTAAAACTCGGTATCGTCACTTCCAAACCCTCTCCTACAGGAAGCGGACGAGTGCATCCATGATGTGTGTGTCCAGACAAAGACAACCTAGGTTTAACTTGACTGAGTAACTGATAAGTAGCTTCTTGACTCAAGCATTCCCATCTTTCTCTAAATCTTTCTTGTTTGATAGGAAAAGGGGCGGCGTCAAAATCGTTGCATTCCATATCTGACTGTCTGTATAAAGGATAATGCTACAAAACAGAGAAATCTCTTTTATTAGTATGAACCTTGATATGTGAAACAAGTTGTTTTCTGATATTTAAAACATAACTACTTAGTGGTTCTGTAAATTTACAAGCGAATCTTGCACATTAAAGAATGATGAGAGATAGAAGAAGCTTTAAAGTTTCCCGAAATATACTGGAGACAAAATAGAAAGTAACATTTTCCAGATAATGAATATTTTATTACTAAGTCAACAAAAGTGAGTCAAAACAAAAAATATTTGTAATTTTCTTCAGAAACCGACAACCTCTAGGCATAATTTAAATTAGGGCTGTATTTGTATAGTAAGGAGGGCAAGTTAAGTTCCACAGCACTTAGGCCACAATTGACCCATTGTGCATCCTCCTAGGGAGCAGACGTCCTTAGCTCATTGTCCATCCTGACATTTCTAGGAAGGTGGACAAGTCACCAGGGACATCTACCTCATATGGGTAGGTGAGGGCCAAGACTCACTGAACGCGTACTCTCGTATTAACTATAACTCCGGGCAGTCACATAAGACATGCTCCATAGTTTCGTTTCTTAGTTAATCGTGGAGATTATTATAGTTTACCCGGCTATACCTTTTTGCGGCTATGGAGATACCAGCCAATTCTGTCTGAACTACGCTATTATTTTTGCCCATACAATTCTTTATTCTTAGGCTCAGTGATCTGGAGTACATCCCACATCCTGAGGCTTCTTCCACTTTTGAGTCATCTGTGTATATGTAATACGCAAACGTCACGTTTGTCTCCCTATACGGTCTTATTTCGATTTTGTAGGGTTTTTCAAAGACAAACTTTGGTTTAAGTGAGTCGCAACCTGTCTGTAGCAGGAGTAGCACATCCAGCTCTCCCCGGGAGAATCGAGTTCTCAACTGTTCCATTCATACATCAAGGTTTGTACCAGCTGAGCACAGTCGCATCATTTTCACCAGCGCCACCTCTTTGACAAATATGTCTAGAAGCGTGATGCCAATGACCAACTCGATTGCAGCAGTGGGTGTTGTTTTCATGACACCTGTTATATTTGGGACCTAATTAAGGTTGTATTATTGTTATTAGAGCAGAACATTTTAAGGCATCCTTCATAAGTTGTTATTCAAGTCCCTTTTTCTCATCTCTTTTTCAATTTCTAGCTTTTCCCACTGGTTTCTATTCCAAAATGTGTTTTGGGATTCTAAGCTGTTGCGAGATTAAGGTGTCCAAACTACAATTTAGCTCCCTATAAAAATCTATTATGTGGGAGATTTTCTGGCGCAAATGCAAGTGTTTAATACCTTAATTCAGGAGATATCTTTCTCTTCAAGTACTATGTCCAATCAACATGGCTATTCTAACTTTTGAAACAACTGCTTTAAAGTTGTTTTGAGCTACAGCCATACTGGTTCCTAGGCTTTATAGATAATATATTTGTCTCTTTTCCACATTCCCTCTATTTTGTTTAGGTTTATCCAAAATGGTTTGTCTATGTACTACTGCTCTAATTTTCCAATCATGAAGTCGAGATTGTCTTTTCCTGTCAAATCATTTACTTGATAACACAATGCCTTTTTATTTATTTCTACTGATATAACTATAAGATCTAATTGACAAAGACATTAATTTATGGTAGTAGCGGAGAGTGAGTTCAAATTGTACTTACCTGCATCAATATGGGTCGACTATATTTTGCTAATTTCATATTTGGCTTACACTTTTCGGTGTATGTTCCTTTTGTACATTTTAAAATTTCTGAAAAGATTATTATACTGTAATATATAATATAAGCAAAATATTTACAAACTGTATACTTATTTAAATATGTGAGTTTTACCACAAGTATTCCCTTGCAAATAGTTTTATTATATTTTCTTGTTAGTTCTAATAAAAATGATCCTTTTATAGCTGGTTGCTAGGTTTGCAATGACTGAATATGAAATTTTATAATCACACTACTTAGTCACAATATCGTACATGTTCACTAGAAATGTAAATTTCAATGATACACCCTCCAAAAATGGCTACTGAAAATGTTTTAAATTTATTTATAAAGTTCTTCGTTAATAACTTTGAGAGGAATAAATATCTTATATCTTTTGAAATATCTAATATCTTTTGAAATTCGTTTTCTAGTAATTTTTCATGAAAAAGAGTTGTACTACCTAGGATCCTCTTTAACCAAAACAACGATTTTTTTTAAATATATAATTTGGTTATTTAATAACATTATTAAATCACCATTACCATTGCAGATGTGTCTTTTAAATTGCGTAGTCTGCATAACAGATTATTTATAGTTGTTGTTCTCCCATTTAGTATCCTTTTCTAGTTCTTATTTTTTTATCACTTCATCCATAATCAGAATCTCCCTGTCTTACCCATTGCCAGCTTCAATGGGGTCAGTTAGTTCTTCTTCTACTTTTACTTTTATTGTGTTGGTAGATATTTTCAATCATTTTGATTATTTCGAGAGGTATCTCTCATGCATACAATAAGTGGATATCCTTTAATTTAACCTGGTTGAATGCCTTTTTAAGTTTCACAAAACAGAAATATACCAGTCTGTTGTATTCTAATGATTTCTCTTGCACTTACCTCATAAATATAGCATTGGTGCATGATCTTCCTGACCTAAAAGCTTGTTCTTCTGTTAGTGTTATAATTTCATTCAATCTATTTATTATCACTTTGGTTTTTAATTTTAGTGTTGTGTTTAATAAATTAATTAAAACTTCAAATCAAAAGCACTTGAAAATTTTATGATATCTTGGGTAATAATAGACCAATTTAGATGTTTTAAAATCTGAAATAGCACTTGAAAATAAAAATGACACAGCCATTTTTGTAATAAACACTCATAAATTTGTTATAAACAACTTTTTCCATTTTTTTTCATATTATTATAAAAAATAATTATTCTTAGTGATACTGACCATTTACTCTAAGTACTTACTTTCAATTTTTGTTAATTGTTGCTCAGCAGGTTTACACAAAAAGCATCCATCTCCTTCTAAAGCCATACTATTTATAAGAACAAAATGGTTGCCTCTGAGGCTAATCATTCTGACTACTGGAGCATCAAATGCCTTTGCAAATCTTTGATTTAGGTATGGACTGACACTAAAAGATACAATTATTTTCAGAGCTTACCTTTTTATCTGTCAAAAGTAACACAATTATCAATATCAAAAGTTAAAACAACTTCTACATATATTAAACCTTCATCTTCTAAAGAATATAACTCAGAAAAATAAGTAAAAAAAGTACTATGTTGAGGTCTCTAACCTGACCAGGAATTTGACAAGTTTTTATGTGGTATGTGTGTCTGATAAAAACCTATGTTTTCCCTTTTGTCTAATAGTGTAATAGGGTAATTTTTAGTTATTAACAATTATGGGTCTTAGAATCAGAATTCTTAATTTTCATTATAAGATTAAATAAAAGACACTCTATTACACCAATGGTATTGTTTTTTCACCCTGAATTTATTACAGCCATTTAGTCACTATAGCAAACAGTACTTCGATAAAAAATTGTGTGTTTATGAATAAACAAAAACAGCTGTAAATGTAGAGAACTATGGATACAAAATCTCATCTGGTATATAAAAGTCTGTTATATTAATATAATTTGGTGTATGTTACAAACTCTTACCCGTAATGGAAGCCTATATCATGGTTTCCAACAGCAACATAAATTTTTGTTCCTTCTGGAACAGCAAATAAACTGTAAAATCTATTCACATAATACTCAAACTCAGTACTGCTACAATACAATCCTTCGTCAGTAAGATCACCTAGTACAAACACCAAGTCAGGTTTGTGCAAAGTCATGGCACTTTGAAATGCCCTATACATTTGCCACTCCCTTCGTAGCTTATCAAACCAATGTCCCTTTCTGGAACCCAATAAGTGTGTATCTGCAATAACCATAATTTTAACGGGGTCTTCATTGGAAGGCTCTATAGATGTATCTTCGTTTTCAGGGTTTAATTCTGGCCAGTCACACTAAAAATATTTAAATTAAAATTATCGTATACTGAAAAATGGTTATTTAAATACTCACGTTAAGTTGTACTGCATAGAAGATAAGAAATTCACAATAGAAAAATAAAAATAATACTCCAAAGCTAGTTTTTACTATAAATTTAAGGTTAGGTCGCATTTCACTTTTGTTTTGATTTTTGGTTAACTGTCAGTGTCAGTAGTCAATATTTTCTTTTAATCATTCGATGCTTTTAATGGATACTTTAGCAGTCTCTAAATTACATCAGAGATGGCGCATGGTGATTAAAGATAAAAACTTTAGAGCTACTTGGTCACCACAAGAAAAGTTGGTGTTAAATAATATACAAAAAGTACTCAACTAAAAACCCATTTTAATTTTTGTAGATAGGACACTGCTGTCAAAAGAAAATCGCTGGTTGTTTTAAACGTTGTTTCTGAGAAAACAGTTCTTCACAAAAAGTGGTAATCAACATTATTTGTTCAAAATTATCTCAAATACAGTAGAACCTCGGTTAACCGAGATTCCGGGTTAACCGAGGACATTCTAATATGAATATAAATTCATCCGAGGCCATCCAAATTTACAAGCGATGTAAACGCTTCGGAACCGTCCATGAGTCGGTCTTCCACAAGACGCTACAAGCAGTGGCAGTACTTCGTTGTGTCCTTATACATAAAACTAAATGCGATTCGTCGTCTTGACAAGGGCGAATCAATTTGATATCAATCAATCAATCAATACTGATTTGGGTGTTGGTCAGGTTACCGTAGGTGACTGGAGGAGGAAAAGGGCAGAGTTAGAAAAATGGGGCGCTTAGAGTTTGAATAGTGATTGCAATCCAGAACGAAAAACTTTCAAGAAGTGTGAATATGAAAAAACTTCTGAGGCATTATTAGTCCAATGAGCGTACCTATTTTACAGGCATTTTTCAAAAAAGGTTTGGCGATGGTGATGAACCCTTTACCTGGGTGGTTAATGCGATGGAAAAACCGATATGGAATTCGACAACTTAATATATCTTGGGAAAAACTTTCAGCAAATGTAACTGACGTGCCTATTTTTTAAGAAAATATAAATTTCTAAATTGATTTTGAATGAGGGCCTTACATCGGATCAAGTCTTTAACTGTGACGAAACAGGCCTGAATTTCAGAATGTTGCTGAGTAAAACCTTACCTAGTCGGCAGTTAACATCAGCTCCTGGTTATCAGAAATGTAAAGATCGAGTTACAGTTCTAGCATGAGCTAATTCTGCAGGAAGTTTGAAATTAAAACCAGTCGTAATTGGTAAGCCTAAAAAACCACGTGCTTTCAAAAACACTAATGTGGACACCTTCCCCAGCATATATAGAAATCAGAAAAACGCATGGATGGACTCGCATATTTTCGAAAATTGGTTTTTTGATGATTTTGTTCCGATTGTTGAAGCTTTCCTAAAGAAAAAAATCTTCCTCCCAAGGCCATTCTTGTTCTTGACAACGCTCGATCTCATCCAGATGATGATGAACTAGTGAGCAATGGTATTAGAGCCATATTTTACCAGTAAATATCATTATACCAGCCATTATATATTTTACCAGCCAAATAACATTATATCGTTATTTAAGTATATTGAGACATTTATAACACCAATTACAGTATTGTACTATATTTAGGTTACGTTCCGTGTTATCCGAGTTTTTCCGTATCCGAGGTACTCTTGGTCCCAATTACCTCGGTTAATCGAGGTTCTACTGTACATTTTTTTCTAGGGTATACAGATTCTTTGTTAATCGATTTTTTCCGTTTTTCCTTGTCTTTTTGCTCGATGGTTTTTCCTCTTCTACGAAGGGCGTTTTAAATAATGATAAACTAAAAAAGTGGTGAACTTTTTTACATATTTTTAGCGTCCTAAAATTGATATTCTCGGCAAAATTTAACTGTTTTGTATGATTTTTAGAAGTTCAGTGGCATTTACGTTTCTGATGGCTGGAGTAAATTGTTGTATTAGATCTAAGAATCTAATAGCAAATTCTTTGTAAATTGCCGGTAATATTAATTTTGTGGTTGCAACTGTTTGTCTGAGTGTACACCTACATTGGAACCGTATTTCTCCCGATCCGATATCTGGCGACGTCGGCCAACGTCGGATTAAAAACAAACTCAAGGTATTAAATCAGAGTGCCTATACTGCTTCGGCTTCGTCATGGAAGCAGTATAGGCACTATGATTTAATACCTTGAGTTTGTTTTTAATCCGACGTCGGCCGACGTCGCCAGATATCGGATCGGGAGAAATACGGTTCCAATGTAGGTGTACCTACACTGAATAAAAAACATTCTAGATGGTGTATAAAGAAGTACAGACACCAATGAAAGCTTCTTTAGTACAGGAAAAGCTGGCGGCTACAGAACAACGGCCATTTTTAAAATTGTAAACAATTATTTGGCTGATAAACAAATAGAATATCTCGGTAACTATTATAGTTTAAATTAAATTCTGAAAAAGGTATTGAAAAAGAGTCGGAAAGAAGCTTCGTTAAAAAAATTGAATTACGAGCAGTGGTTTCTGGGTCAAAGTTGACCGTTATTTGCGACGAAGTTATAAACAATAGGATGGTAATCTTTAAACCAATAACTTTCTCTTTCAAAGATTTTTCTCGATAAAAATTACTGTGTACTGATTACTGATCTAACTGCCACGGGAAAACTTGCAAAAACTGACAAAGCAATATTATTAGCCGACAAGAAAAAAATACTGATACTGTTATTAACTGTCATGAAATTAATTTAGAATAACATGATGAAAATTTGGGAAGTAATTTTCAATTTCAAGATAAAAATTTTGATGAAGTTTGCCGGTACAAACTCAACTTTCGGAAGTCCCTAGTGGAAGAATGATAATATGAATGAGGCAAATAAAATTAAATTACTAGAAGAATTTTTTGAATTACCAATTAACAAAACAAACTAATTTGTTTACGTAATTTGTATTTTGGGAACGATTTCCGACGTGAAAATCGGAATGTCAAAATAAACGTATTGAAAAAAATAAAATAATAACTGAAATTGTGGTTAATTTCCATTAAAGATAGTAAATAATAATAAAATACCAGAAGAATATAGCTTCAGAATAATATATTTATTACGTGTTTAGCATTTTTTCATACTTTTTAGAAAAGAGGAGGATAGGCTAACAGGCCTTTATAAGCTTGCTTCCTCAGGAGGACGGACATTAGGTTTAATTATTGGTTTTATTCCACTCTTAGGTCGAAATAGTTCGGCCTTATTAAGAGCCAAAGATAAAATTCATTCTGAATATTTTTCGATCATCAATCAGCCAATTGCGTGTACTTCTGGACATAGGCCTCCCTCAGTTCTTTCCAGTGTTCTCTACACTGGGCCGCTTGTAGCCAGTTTCCCGCTACACGTTTTATATCATCGGTCCATCTAGTCGGTGGTCGTCCTCGGCTTCTTTTATAGTTTCTGGGCCTCCATTCCATAATACGTCTTGTCCACCGTCCATCTTGTGCTCTGGCTAAGTGCCCTGCCCAGTTCCACTTAAGCGACGTGGTTCTTTCGATGACGTCTTGAACTCCTGATCTTTGCCTAATTTGTTGGTTTGTTATGTGGTCTCGAAGGCTCACGTTCAGCATTACACGTTCCATGGCTCGTTGTGTAACTCTGAGTTTATTCGCAGATTTTTGCGTGAGTGTTAAAGTCTCTGCTCCATAAGTTTGTACAGGTAAAACACATTGGTTATAAACCTTTCGCTTGAGACACATGGAAATTGAACTTTTTAGAATATGGCTTAATTTGCCAAATGCTGCCCAAGTTAGGCCTATTCGCCTCTGTATTTCATGTGTTTGATTGTCTCTGCTTATTTTGATTTCGTGTCCCAGATATTTGTAAGTGTCTGTTTGTTGTATGGCATTATTGTCAATAGTTATATTTCCACTCATTACGAGATTTGTTATAAGTTTAGTTTTCTCAAAGTTTATCTTTAATCCTGCTCTTTCAGACAGACTTTTAAGCGAATGATTTTTCGATGAGGTAGTAGAACATCGTGCTATCATCTCCAGAAAATTTGTATGCTTTAAAACAGAGGTTCACAAACTTTTTCTCTCGTAGACTCCTTACTCTGTTTTTCAATTTTAGATAGACCCACCGCTATTCACTTTGAAAGATTTAAATATCTAACTGTAGTGACACTTTTTACACATTTATTATTTAAATTTAAATAAGAATATAGTAACTGTTACTTAAAAAAAACTGAACAAAAAATAAATAAATTTAGCATTCATTTAGTTATAATTAATTTTAAATCTCCCCAGTCAATGATGTCCAGTTTGTTACTTTTTTTTGTTAATGGAACTCCGTTGAAACCTTTTGTAATGGGTGTGAAGAAGAAAAAGGGATTAAAAACTTTCGCGGTATTCCATAATACGGGATAACCAACAGGTATGTTTTTTGAAGCCAAAATTGTTAATATCCGTTTTAAACTATATCTTTAAGTTCTTCATTAGTGCTTATTTTAATTAGTTTTTCTTGTAATGTAACATCCGTTTCTTCAATGTCACCAAATAAATTGATAATCCGTGCAGTATTACCAGCGTCAAAATATCCTCAAATCTAGTTTCAAAATCTGAATAGATGGCATTCAAATATTGGACATATATTGAAACATCGTCTTCCTAACAGATTGCCTGGAACAAATTGAAGTATTGGGAAAATTTGTACTATCCAACGTTTTGCTTCATCTGTTTAATTCTGGCAAGGAACGCTGAAATAATCAACTTTGTTTTTATTAAATTTAAATTGTCGTCTTGCAACTGCATCGCTATATATTTTAGATGTATATGTAGATGACAACAATGAAAAATACATATTAAAACCAAGAAAGGTTATAATAATAATTACTTACTAACATGAAAGAATATTGATGTAGGTATGTAATTTGTAATAAAAACTAGATTTTAATTTAAATATCTTTTATGGGGAATATCTTTTAAAAATAAGATGTGGGATCGAAGATGTGCAGAGGTGGATAGGTATATGGCTGTAACAAGTGTCGGCCAAGAGTGGAAGGTGATAAGGTCTCTCTGGAAGGAAGGACAGGAAAAATCTAACTTAGAGCTAATAGATTTGAAACAGTGAAAACACCATTATGAGGTCTTACTGACAGATGATAGATGTAAATTCCAAGAGATCGAAATG